GCATTACCTCTTGGTACTAACAATGCATGTGAACAGGTGTAAAAAAGAGTTTTCCTTTAAAGAATAAGGTTGGCATTGTTCTACATTTTTCTTATGTGAACAAATCCCATTAGAAAACCAAAACAAATACTACATTTGTTTGTCTCTCAGAACTCTCTGACTTCCCCAGCCTGTCTATGGCACTCACTCCTGGAGCCCATTAGTTCCTACTAAAGACATAAATCTTTGAAAATAAATGTAGTTTCATTTTAAAAGGCACTCAGTCATTTTCTGAAGCAGTTTTTAGTCAACATTACTCCAAAATTTTCCCATTGAGTATTTTTATCTCCAGATTAATAAGCACTGGTGCACTAGGGAATACTTACAGTAAAGCAGCAGGACCAACCCGGTGTCACTCCCAACTCATCAAAAACCGACGCTTGATCAGTGGCCCTTGGCACCCTTTGGGTGGGATGGGATAAGGTGGTTGGGTCAGACTCCAGACTTTCACCCAAAAGCCCACTGTTCATTTCTCATGTGAAACCAAAAGTCAATCTCATTATTCTCATAACAACATGGTGTGTTAGTATGTGTAGCATACTACACTAGTGAAGTATGTCATGTGATGTTACATTACGTCAGGAAAAACGTACTTATTTTAAGCCAAGCATGCAACATATTCTCACTCGTCACATATCGTCACTTGGTTGTGGACTTTCCACGTCCATGTGGACGTGCAAGGTACCCTGTGTCAAGTTCTGCCTGTTACATGCATTGTCTTCTTTCAAAATACACTTCTGTTTTCACAGGAAATTTAACGTTCATATACAGTCTCTTTCATAATAAACGCACTACGTTGGTACAACATCGTGAATTGATATTTTTAGCGTTTTGGCTTTAAATCTTACGGGACGTGAACACCGTTCTCCTGGGTGAAAGTCGGTCTTTGTAACTACGTGGATTTGTTGCCCAAACCAAAGGAAGTAAACCTAAAAATGAAGTGTGCTACCCGCGTGCATGCATATCACAAACAGAAACTGTACATTTCCTGTGGAAAATGGATGTTAATTTTGAAAAGACACAAAGCATGTACAAGGGTAAACTGACACACCATCCCTGAACGTCCAAAACTGACACTGGATGGGTACCTACAGCGTTTGACTTACAGGGCCACTGAATAGATGAGTTGAGAGTGAGAAAGGGTTGCAAACGTGTATGCGAGATTGATTCAAAATAAACTACAGTGCTCATGTTCATGGCAATGAAGGAACATTTCACCCTGTGCAACGTTGTGCAACTTTGTGGTTTATAATAGTTTTTGGCCTACACTATGATACAGAGGAATAAGCTTTGACTAGACAGACAATAGGCTACTTGATAGAAGTATCGCTTCATTGTTGGTTTTAGTCTTTTCATGGGATTTGTTGACACTAAGAAAACATATAAAACGTCCCCAGACCTATATTTTAATTGGTTCTGATCAGATGTAATTTTGCAGAAATCCAAAGATCCTATATGGAGCTGGTCTGTATACATATGGAAGTATGGGAATCTGCTGAGACACAGGACTCTTCAAACACAGGGTTGGTTTGGTTTACATTAAAGCAGTCCTGATGGCTTTGATGCTCCTCAAACTGAGCGATGAGTCTTCATGAACGTTCAATAAATTGATTCTTCAAACATTTCCACTGGGGTTTGGCTTTCTTTTGAACCTGCAGCATACACTTTGTGATTGTTTTTGACAGTAGTTTAGCCCTTGATTCTTTCTTTATGAAAAAAAAGATAGGAAAAGGGTGAAAGGTGGCTGGTAGCGGAGGGGAAAGAGACGAACGAAGGGTTACTGCTGGGCTACAGATGGACCACTTGGTCTGAGAAGCTGCGTCTCATTTTCACACACAGTTGTAATGAAAACCCGCTGGGGTGACTTTAAGCACAGGCCTAGGATCAGCTTACCTCTATCCCCAGCCTCTGACCTTAACTGTCTGTGAAAGCATATTGTTAATGGAGACTGCATGTTATCTGTGTTTGGAGAAATAAAACCTCATGCTTGGTAAGGCTTTATACAATCCTAGTTGCAGTCCATTTATCCTCGCTTGGATTCCTTCCATCATTTGAGTGTGTTTGCAGCTGATCACATTTAGTCACCCAAGAGAGGTTAGCATGTGACCTGCCACACCACAGGTACAGTTTAGCCAGCTGACCTGCTGCTCAGATAAAGGGAGTCCAGTTGCAGGTTAATAGGGGGCTGTAGCCCTTAAATGGCCGTATAAGTGTTTCTACAGAGACCTGAATAGATTTAACACACTTTGAAGGAAAGGGGATGAGAGGGGGAGAGTTGCCTTATAAAAGCAACTTAAACCTTTGACACAGACTGAAGAGCCATTTAGGTTCCTGCTCTAGTGCCGCATTCAAACCAACTTTGGCTCTACGTGAACAAACATAACCCTCTCATTCACCTGAATGAGGCCAGTTTACTGCTGCAGCAGGAATGGCAACAGAAAGCTACAGCAATGCCCCTTTTCCACCAAAATTAGTGTGTGTTCGTGGGTCTTTTAAACATTGGTAAACCCACAAAACATAGGCTATAGACTCCCTTCCCATTGCTCTGCAGCAAACAAATATGCATTTCTTTGTGTGTTCAACATCACGAGCACAATCTTACTCCCAAGTCATCGAAATCCGGCGCTTGGGCAGTGACATGCGGCATCAGAAACCAATGAAAAAAGGCATCCTTTAACGTCGGCATGATACGCGGCCGGTTGCAGTTTAACCGTGCCTGCTGGAGTCAGGGGGAAACGTGGCTGGACATGGACAAAAGTTAAGGCGGCGAAAGTCCAAGTGGGGTGGGAGGGAGAAGTGGTGGATGGGTCAAACAAACCATGACTTTCACCCACGAGAGTGGTGTTCATGTCCCATAAGATTCTAAAGCCAAACCCTGTTCTTTTCTCCTAAACCCAACTGTGTGTTTTTTTGTTGGAGTTGTACCAACGCAGTGCATTTATTTTGAAAGGGACTGTATGTAAACGTTAAATTTCCTGTAAAAACGGAAGTGTATTTTGAAAGAAGACAATGCATGTAACAGGTATAACTTGACACAACATCCAAGAACGTCAACAACCAACACACCCAGGGTACCTTGTACATTGTATGCAGACGTGGAAACCAAACCTCAATATGTGATTAGGTCGAAGTGAGAATGTGTTGCTTCTGAAGAGTTGTTGCTGTTATTCACCTCCAACTTCACCTTGTTGTGGAGTGGTGGCAGACTTTGAGACATGTAGGCCTTTATCTTATAACCCCTGCAAATATAACTACAACTGTCCGCATGGCTTGATACAACTACAGGTAAGTCACAAAACTTTTACTTTTAAATTTGGGTGTACTGATTGTTTAAATATGAAGAGCAAATATTCCAAGTCATACTGGAAGGCAGTGTCCCTGTAGCCTGCAGCCGTAGCAGTTCCAACATGCACTGTTACTGCTATAGCTTTGCTTTTGTGTGCAGTAGTCAGTTTCTGGAAGTGAGCAATACATATTTACAGTGACTGTCACTAGTCATTAATGTGGATTCATGAGTCAGTATGAGGCATCTAATTTGATTCAGACTCCTTTGTTAAGGAGATGGGAAACACCTCCGTATCTACAGCAGCAAAACAATCAAACACCTCATTTAAGGGTGCAGCACTTTATTCATAAAACAATATTTATACATGTCACGTTCACAAAATCGTTTTCATATGTCCTGGCTTGTTTTCGTACGGTAAGTAAAGGAAGTGGGAACTCCTTCCAAAATAACGTCTTTGTTAAGTTCTGCTAAAAAAAAAAAAAAAAAAAAAAAAAAAATTGGCACACCTAGAGCTATAAACCTTAATGACGGGTTTAATTGAAAGAAAATAAACTACAACTGTGTTTTCTATTCAAATACTTTTTCCGACCCCTTGAAATATGTGACTCACTGGCTTATTGAATGACTTGAATGAGCAGCTGAGGAGGATCTGAGAGACCGAATTGTGACAATACAGGATTTAACACATGGTACTTTGCACACTAGAAGATTTTTAATATAGATTAATACTTATGACTTGATTCTGGGAACAAAAAAACATGTTGTAACTGATTTTTCAGCACCACAAGCAAGATTCGGTTTACCTCATCTGTATTAGGGAGTGACAGCAGAAGACTCTGTGACACATGTCTAAATCAAGGCAAGTGAAACCAAAAATGTCTTAATATCTAGAGACCACATGGTAAGTGGGAAAATATGCTTCTGTAATTTGGGTGAACTGACCCTTTTAGCTAGAAATTCCACAAACATCAGATGTGAGATTTAAGCGTTCACTCATTTCAGCTTCTGAGAGAGCAAGAGGAAGGTCAGGCCTGAGACGAACCACACTGCTGTCTGCACACCAGACTGTAGCTCAAGGGGGCCTGAGAGCGGATAGGAGCCAGAGCTGTATAGTGCAGGGAGGAGGCAGATTTGGTTTCACCCCTGGGTGCGCTGAGTGGTGGTCTGCTTCTCACACCAGGGCAAACAATATATCACCATGTGGTATGAACCTGCAGACCCACCCAGAGGATTTCACCACTGAACTCCTAATGATGGAAAATTAACGCTCCACTGAGCTGAGCTAAATGCCCCTACTGACAACATTTCCAAACTATTTACAGCATGGGTCTCAAAACTGCAAGTTAGGGGATCACTCAGGATATATTTCTGTTGATTTGGGCGTAATGAGGAAAAGCTGTCAGACAGGTTTTGTTATGATTTCCATGAAGGGCAGGAGATGAAATAGAGGGGGGGATTGTGAAGAAAACGACTGGTGATAAAATACTATGAGCTATAATTAGAAATCAAAAATGTCTGTCAGGCTCAGAGGAGCAACAAGTGAAAATTTGGGCTTTTATTGGACTGGGGAGACACATTTGTCCACCTGATATGGGGAAACCAAGTGCTGAATGAAGACGCGGTCTTTACGCACAATGTACAGACTCCTCCCAGACATGTCTGGAAGAAAACCTCTTGTTACAGTAGGAGCTGGTCACTGACAGAGGCTCCATGCACGCCGGCTGATGCACAACAGCCCCTGAATAAGCGTTTATACTCTGCAGGTTTTTACGCACAGAAAAAATGAGGGCCTTTATTGCGGCAGTGACAGTGTTGTGGGTGATGATGATACCCTGCATGGAAGCTATCCACGGATTGTACAATTTCGGCCAGCATGATTTATTCTACAAAAAGAATAACTGCAAGCCAATTCCTGCAAACCTGCTCCTGTGCCACGATATAGAGTACACAGATATGCGCCTCCCGAACCTGCTCGGACACGAAACCATGAATGAAGTTCTGCAGCAAGCTTCGTCTTGGATCCCGCTGGTTCAGAAGCAGTGTCACCCCGACACGAGAAAGTTCCTCTGCTCCCTTTTTGCGCCCGTCTGCCTGGACGATTTGGACGAGCCCATACAGCCGTGCAGGTCTCTGTGCGAGAGCGTCAAGAACGGCTGCGCGCCCGTCATGTCCGCGTTTGGCTTCCCCTGGCCAAAGATGCTGGACTGTGACCGCTTTCCACTCGACAATGACTTGTGCATACCACCTGCAGGCATCGAGAACTTTGTGCCCGTCACCAAAGAAGGTAAAGTTTCGTTACACTGTATTTTATGTTGCACATTAACCATCACCAAGTAGCTCACTGTGCAAACATGTCACATTGATTTAGTGGGACTGCATCATAAAGTGCATGTGCTCAGCATGATTTTCTATTTAGCATATCCACTCATCTGCACCAGAACCCACTTGGGTGGACTTTTTTTTTTACATTTTCTGTTGAATTATGGCAGATCATGTAATATTTATATTGTCTGATTTCTCTTGTAGTGCCCAGAGTGTGTGATGCTTGCAAGGAAACGGATGAAAATGACAACGAAATTGTTGACAACCTGTGTAAGAATGACTTTGGTAAGTCCACCATGGGTGTAGATTACATGGCAGGGGGGCGGGGGCACGGGGGACACCCTCCAAAATTTAGAAAATGTGCATTTGCCCCAACAATAAAAGCATGAAAGTAGCAGAGGAGTTTTATTTTGACAACATAAAAGCCATTTCCACCATATATGGTGCAGAAAAATTAAACAGAATACAATAAATTAAGTGTTTGATGCTCAAAATCTTCTGGCAGAGGACCCAAACACCTCATTTCACGTGTCTCCAAAAAATGTTGAAACCAAACCTGTACACTTGAAGTCCACACCGATTTCATCATAGCAGTAGGCTCCTAAAGGAAGCTCAGGGGCCCCAAGAGGTCATGAGAGGTTCCAGGCAATTTCAGGAAAAATGTCACTGTTAAAAGTGTTTCATTTGTAGAAAGTCCAAGGAACAAATGGTTATTGTGGCCAGGATTTCCCCAGTACAGTTTTTGTAAAAACAAATCCCTCTTTTTTCTCCCCTGTTTGCATCAAGCTCTGAAAATCAAAGTCAAGGAGATCTCCTACATCAACGGTGACACCAAGATAGTGCCGGAGAACAAGAGCAAGACCATTTACAAGCTGAACGGCGTGACGGAGCGCGACCTGAGGAAGACGGTGCTGTGGCTGAAGGACGGCCTGCAGTGCATCTGCGAGGAGATGAACGACATCCACGCCGCCTACCTGGTCATAGGCCAGAAGATGGACGGCCATCTGGTTATCACCTCACTGAAGCGCTGGCAGAAGGGACAGAGAGAGTTTAAGAGGATTTCCCGCAGCATCCGCAAGCTGCAGTGCTAGGAAGGAAAAAAAACAAATAACTGCATGTGTCACTGTTGAAGAAAAAGTTTAGTTGAGCTCTGTCTGATTATCTGATTATCTCTTTCCAGTTGTCACACAAGGTTTATAGATTCCTCTCTAGACTATAGCGAAGATGTTTCTCTGGCCTCAGAGAACACACCACTTCCTCTCTTTTCCATTGGTTCATTGTTAGAAAAAAAGCCCAAATTTAAAAAAAAAAAAAAAAATAGGCAATCTATAGCATATCTGCTGGCTAAAATCTCTACAATTATAATTCTTATGGATTTTCATTTTCTGAAAGGTGATTTGCCCCAAAACACTGAAGTTACATTCATCAGTGAGGCCACCATTTTTTTTTTGAAAGCACATCTTTAAGTGGCTAAATCACATGTTGGCCATGTTCTCTGAGCTGGGCACACATTTATACCTGGTACAGACACAGAAGTAAGCAAATACAGCGGAAAAAAAAGTCCCTTAAATTGTAGTGATTTTGTGAAGAAGTATATGTTTTTCATCCATTGACGCCCATTCATTTTACACTTAGTGAGTATTTGGCACCCTCTTGTGGTCAGTGTTGAAGTGGTGTGTTTTTTCCTTTGCTGTCACCTCATTAATTGCACTCAGCTGGTGTCCAAGGTGTAAAGGAATCACTAATCACACAGTTAGAGTGAAAACTAGCAGCTTTCAATCCAGGATTAACAATGATTGAGTAAACAAATTACTGGCACATGTGGCTTCCTGTTAAATCCTTCAACGGGGGTGAGTTTAAGACATTTTCCTTTTCTCTTCTGGTAGTAGCTGGAATCTGTTTCTGCTGTTGTCACGGGGCATTCCTCACTCAAATCATCAGCAGTTGTTTGTTTAGGACTATTAAAAACTCCTAAAGAGGAACAAGTGACGTCACAAGGGTCAAAGGCCTTCACTGCTTAGCTGATCAAAGTCAATAAGGTAAATAAAAAGAGATGTTTGGGGGAAGTTCAAGTCTTCCTAAAAGAGGTATCTGCATCCCATAATAACAACTCTTTTCTGTCATAGTTCCACAGAAACAGTTACTGATTGATGCACACTGAGTGAAGCTGTGATTCCCATGTGTGTAGTGTGATGTTCAAAGACAAAATAATGTTTTGTATTCCTACCGTTTTCTCAAGCAAAAACGAGAGATAGCTGGCTATATTCTCTTCCTGTTCAACATTTTAATACTCTTAGTAACCTTTTTGTACTTGAACCACTGCATACTTTTCTACCCCACTATGGTTAAACTAATATTTTTCTACTCCCAGACTTTCATATTTCATATAAACTTTAATGTTTTGAGTTTGCATCTTCATCCTGTTGTTTGATGAGTGGCACACGTTGGATTTTTAGGTTTTATTAGAGGATGAATATCTGAGTTTTTTGGTTGGTAGTGTTGATTTGTTAGGCGCAAATAATCCAGTGGTCTGTGTGTGAATGTGTGCGCAATGTATAAAGTATTTTTTTGAAAGTATTACTGTGTAAATATCAAATACTGCCTTTTATGCTTGTGTAAAGTTTTCAGCGATTAAAAGCTGCTGACGACATGCTTTGAAATGACTCATTTTATTGTTGTATATGGCAGGGAATGAAACTCATGAATAAAAGAGGAATTTATACAATGGAAAATAGACCTACAGAATGTATTATTAATAAACACCGCCATCTAGTGGGAGTCAATGGTAAAATCAGGTCATTGTAATAGTGGCATGAGGCATGAGGTGGTGATGTGTTCTCAACAAACTCTTAACAGGGTTTTTTTTTTTTTCAATGACATTTACCATTATTAAATGTATAGGCTCATAATGTTAAATAAAGCTTGGCCTGTAAGGATAGTGTCAATTAAACAGTATAGTAAATCTATGCTTGTCATGCTGGCCACTGTTGTACATTTTGACCACATATTTCAGAGAAACACAGCACTTATTTTGTTTCGCTCCTGATGCCCATTTGTGTTTCCAGCTTTGAGTACTCAGGGAAATTCTTGTACCACTCTCAGACTGTTGGTATGATTGAGACCTGAGGCTTTTAAAATATTCCAACAGGTAATTTTAGTCATGAAAAAGATGCCAAAAGGCACACTTCCTGTATTTGTCAATAAATTTTGGAAAAGTTTACAGCTTTCTTTTATAGATGATCCAATTCAATTGATTTATGTACCCTAAAACTTCAATTAAACACCCAGTCCCTTTTACAAGCCCGGTGCGACAAACGAACGCCTGTCTCAGTTAGACGCCTGGTCTGGTTGCCAAGCAGTTACTTTTAAAGTCTAAAACCGGGTTGTTGTCTACCTCAAATTATGTGTCCATTCCTCCATTACCCTGTAAGTTATTCATATTCCTTTAGTCCGTAAGGGTCCCCAGATCAAAAGAATCAAAGGGGTTTTTCATGAAAATTAATCCAAGTTGTGAGTATTGTTTTAACAGGATAAAATGGTGTTGTGTTGGTATACTGGGTGCTGTAATCCTTGAGTGCCGTAACACTATCTCCCTCTGTCAGAGCTAGATCAAATGAATGATTCATGATTGATATATTATCTGAAGTCTAATTTTTAAACGAATAATATTCATACTGGTTTATATGAACAATTTGATTGTATTTCCCATCTTTGCTGAGCAACAGTTTTGTGTGAAAGGAATTAAAGGCCTGTCCCAAATATAGGCCTGTTGATTTTAGTAACTGAATCAATTAATAGCCCAGGCTACTAATTTAAGTTTTACAGTACTTGCTATTATATCTTACGTTATTACTGTTTTTATTGTATTTTGGTTTTTGTATTGTTGTTACTGTTCTGCTTGTGTTTTGTGCTTTTTGTAAACCTCCCAAGAAACTTATATTTTAGCTAGTGACATATAAGATGTTTATTTGCCTGTACTTAATACCATATATCACCCTATAGCCTCACACACTGACATTTTTGAAAACATCAAACCAAAGCTGCAACTAATGATTATTTCAGTGATTATTTTTTTAATCTACAAGTCTGTAAGATATGTTGAAATAACCCTCAGTTAAATGGAGTACTTCACCCACAAAATGACCATTTGTAAATGGATTAGTCATGCTGTGTTACTTTGAATTTGTGAAGGAAACTGTTCTCGCATGCCTCCACGGAAAACAGGGGACGTATTGACTGAGGGGTTTCCACACATGGCCCTCTAAATGGACTCAGAGCTGTGACTCAGCATTTTTTGCGCCTATGTCATCACACTAAGAGAACTCAGACCCCTCTGAACTGTGGTGGTCTGAGTTTGGCTCGCTTCAAGTCTGTGGTGCGGTTCACTTAACCCGCTCCTGGTGAACACAAAGTGCTCCAGGCTTGCTCTTTGCCATTGTATTTAGCCCTCTAGATCACATGCTGTTGCACTGGGACGCTTGGAAAAACAGATGAAACCATGTCAGCCTGTAAAGCTTGCAAGGATGCAGCACAAGGAGTAGTTTGATCCATGGAAGATACTGCACGTCTCCAGATGTGGAAGGTAGAATACATCAAACGCCAACAGTCTACAGCACAGAAACTCTGAGGTTTACCCCCAATTTCAAGTTCATCTGAAAGTGAGGGGCTTCATAACCGCACTGCAGTGCCACATCAAAGTAAAAACACAACTATGTCAACATATTTATAGCCTGTAGTGTGAACAGAAATAGGACTGAGGCCCCATCAGAGCTGAGGTTGACCTGAAGGGGAACTGAGTCCCCTTTTTAAATGAGCTGACAAAGTGATCACAAAAATAACTGAGTCCGTTTTCTGTCGGTCCACTTTTTGGTTCACTTTAAGAGGCCTGAGTTCTGTTTGTTTAAAAGGGACTATATGTGAAAACACCATTACTAACTGACAGTGATTAACTCGTGCAGTATAATCCAAGTCTCATTTATCCAGTCGTGTGCTCAGTACTTTCCAAACACATGCAGTTTCACTAAAAAAAAAGACCCTTAGTGGGCTCTGAAGAGAGCATATGTTTCAGTTCAGTTATAAATAGTGAGGTGTTTTTTTTTTCGTGAAAATGCACATGTTTGAGAAGTACTGAGCAAACAGTGCATTACAAATACAAAGTCCCGCAGTCATCACTGCATTCTTTATGCTTTGGTGGGTTGGACGTCACTGACCACTCACAGACAGCAGCACTGGTGTATATTTTTATCTATAAAGCAATATTGGGCAAACTCCTGGTTTACCTCTGCTCCCTTATGTGTGTCAGCTCTGCCAGTTACCAGCAACGCTCCTTCAGGTGGTTGCTTCTGAATGTTCCCTGAACTTTAACAGCAACTGGGAAAACTGCATTCTCCTACTCTGCAGCTTGGACATGGAACAATCTTCAGAAACATCTAAAATTAGAAACCCTTAAATCCATTGATGGATTTAAAGGCATCATAAAGAATGTGGTGACAGAAACATGTGCTTGTTTTTCTTGAGAGGCCACTAGTAGTTGTTTTTATTGTGGATATTTGGATTATATGTTGGATATGTTGCATTTTAAATGTGTTTTGATTGGCTGCTGCCTTGACCAGGTGTCTCTTGTGAAAGAGATTTTCAGTCTGAATGGGACTTCCTGGTTAAATAAAGGTTAAATAAACAAGTGAGACTTTGATTATACTGCACGAGTTCGGTGAGAGTTTGTAAAAGGATGTTTTGCTGTTGGTAAACCTAGTCCTAAATCAATGACTGAATCATAGAGGGATGAGAGAAAAACTAAGTTTCTTTATACACTCAACAAAAATATAAACGCAACACTTTTGTTTTTGCTCCCATTTTTCATGAGCTGAACTCAAAGATCTAAAACATTTTCTATACACACAAAAGACCATTTCCCTCAAATATTGTTCACAAATCTGTCTAAATCTGTGTTAGTGAGCACTTCTCCTTTGCCGAGATAAACCATCCCACCTCACAGGTGTGGCATATCAAGATGCTGATTAGACAGCATGATTATTGCACAGGTGTGCCTTAGGCTGGCCACAATAAAAGGCCACTCTAAAATGTTCAGTTTTATCACACAGCACAATGCCACAGATGTCGCAAGTTTTGAGGGAGCGTGCAATTGGCATGCTGACTGCAGGAATGTCCACCAGAGCTGTTGCCCGTGAACTGAATGTTCATTTCTCTACCATAAGCCGTTTCCAAAGGCGTTTCAGACAATTTGGCAGTACATCCAACCGGCCTCACAACTGCAGACCACGTGTAACCACACCAGCCCAGGACCTCCACATCCAACATGTTCACCTCCAAGATCGTCTGAGACCAGCCACCCGGACAGCTGCTGCAACAATCGGTTTGCATAACCAAAGAATTTCTGCACAAACTGTCAGAAACCGTCTCAAGGAAGCTCATCTGCATGCTCGTCGTCCTCATCGGGGTCTCGACCTGACTGCAGTTCCTCGTCATAACCAACTTGAGTGGATAAATGCTCACATTCGATGGCGTCTGGCACGTTGGAGAGATGTTCTCTTCACGGATGAATCCTGGTTTTCACTGTTCAGGGCAGATGGCAGACAGTGTGTGTGGCGTCGTGTGGGTGAGTGGTTTGCTGAAGTCAACGTTGTGGATCGAGTGGCCCATGGTGGCGGTGGGGTTATGGTATTGGCAGGCGTATGTTATGGACAACGAACACAGGTGCATTTTATTGATGGCATTTTGAATGCACAGAGATACCGTGACGAGATCCTGAGGCCCATTGTTGTGCCATTCATCCACGACCATCACCTCATGTTGCAGCATGATAATGCACGGCCCCATGTTGCAAGGATCTGTACACAATTCCTGGAAGCTGAAAACAGCCCAGTTCTTGCATGGCCAGCATACTCACCGGACATGTCACCCATTGAGCATGTCTGTGATGCTCTGGATCGGCGTATACGACAGCGTGTTGCAGTTCCTGCCAATATCCAGCAACTTCGCACAGCCATTGAAGAGGAGTGGACCAACATTCCACAGGCCACAATCAACAACCTGATCAACTCTACGCGAAGGAGATGTGTTGCACTGCGTGAGGCAAATGGTGGTCACACCAGATACTGACTGGTTTTCTGACCCCCCCAGTAAAGCAAAACTGCACATTTCAGAGTGGCCTTTTATTGTGGCCAGCCTAAGGCACACCTGTGCAGTATTCATGCTGTCTAATCAGCATCTTGATATGCCACACCTGTGAGGTGGGATGGATTATCTCGGCAAAGGAGAAGTGCTCACTAACACAGATTTAGACAGATTTGTGAACAATATTTGTGAGAAATGGTCTTTTGTGTATATAGAAAATGTTTTAGATCTTTGAGTTCAGCTCATGAAAAATGGGAGCAAAAACAAAAGTGTTAGGTTTATATTTTTGTTCAGTGTAATATGAAGGTAACACTGACTAAATGGTCGTTTTGTGGGTTAAGTATTCCTTAATCAACGTATAGTGTCAAGACTACAACAAACTACCTCGAGGTCTACTCATTAAATCATGTTGTCGTAAGGTGTGTGTGGTAAAGTGTGTCAAAGCAGTTTGGATGACTAACATTACACCAACAGGTTAAAAAAACGACCACCTGCTGACTACAGAGGAGTCTTAAG